CATGTGTGTGCAGTTATGTGTGTATGTGTTGTGTGCACAGCGCATTCCTACCTGCCTCACGAAAGGGTTTAAATTAAAACATTAACGGACACTTTAAACCACTCGGTATATTTATCACTTCCTGTTACGGACACAATAAACCGATCGTATGTTCGCTTTTCCGATAATTTTCACTTCTCGAGGATTTCGTTGCGTTTCGCGCGGTGTCAGAATGCATCGGGTTCGAAAGGACAGCGCGCGTAAGGGCGGCTGAGCGAAGATTAGAGAACGAGCGAGATTGTGGAATGGTGAAGGCCAAGGTCATAGGCGTGTTGGAAGTGGGGGAGGGGAGGGAAAGGGGGAGAGGGGGGGGGGAGGATGATGTGTTCGAAGCGGCGGTCAATGAACTCTCTCTCTCTTCTCTCTTCTCTTTTCTCTCTCCTCTTTCCTTCTCTTCTCTTTTCTTCTCTTTCTTATCTTTTCTTCTTCTCCTCTTCTCTCTTTTCTTTTCTTCTTTCTTTTATCTTCTCTTCCCTTTTCTCCTCTTTTCTTTCTCTCTTGCTTTCTTTCTCTACATATATGATATGATACGGAAAGACGAGAGAGAGAGAGAGAGAGAGAGAGAGAGAGAGAGAGAGAGAGAGAGAGAGAGAGAGAGAGAGAGAGAGAAGAGAGAAAGAGAAAGAGAAAGAGAGAGAGAGAGAGAGAGAGAAGAGAAGAAAATGAGAGCAAGAAAGAAAGAAAGAAAGAAAGATAGCAAGAACAAAGAAAGACAAAAAGAAAGAAAGAGAGAGAAAAAAAGAAAAGAAAAGAAAGAGACCGAGACCGAAACAAAAGAGACCGAGTTAAAAACCTCGAAAGAGAGACCACCCACTATAACGAACCACATCACTGGGACACGTTTTCTATCCGATCTAAAAGTCAGATTGGCTCCTATCTTAAGCGGTGTGTTCAATATGTGATCAGAGAAGCGAAGTGTCGTGTGCTTCCAGAGGCATCCAGGAGAAGGTCTGAGTGCTTGCAGGATTGCAGTATTGCCTGGTGCTTTGTTTTTTTGTTTTTGTTTTTTTTCTTGTTTATTTTAGGTTACTTTTTTTAGGTTATTTATTTAGGTTATTGGGTTGTTGTTTTTCTTGTTTATTTTAGGTTATTTTTTTAGGTTATTTATTTAGGTTATTGGTTGGGTTTTTTTTTTTTTTAGGTCTATTTTTTTTTTTGGGGGGGGGGGATTGCTATTGTGTGTTTTTTTTTTTTTTTTTTCGTTTGTTTTACGTATTTTGGGGATTCGTGTTTGCAGTTTTTTTTTCATTCGTTTTACGTATTTTTGCAGGTTTTTATTTTGCATTTTTTCGTTTGTTTTTACATATTTTTTGATTTATCTTTATTTTTTTTTCCCTCTTTCCTTTTTTTTTTTTTTTTTTTGTATTTATTACTTACCTTTTTTTTCTTGTCTTGTCTGCGTGGATGGGTGATGCAGAGTAGAGAGAGAGAAAGAGAGAAGAGGGGGGGGGGGGAGTGAGAGAGACCAAGAGAAAGAAATAGAAAACAAGAGAAAGAAAAAGAAAGAAAGAAAGGAAAGAGAACAGAGAAGAGAGAGAGAGAGAGAGAGAGAGAGAGAAGAGAAGAAAGAAAGAAAGAAAGAAAGATAGGAAGGAAAGAGAGAGAGAGAACAACATTTACCTTGAGCCCAGCAACTTCTTGCCACTGGCCACGTGGTTGCAGATTCACGTGTCTGCAACAGAGGAACCAGCCTTGCAAGCTTTTTTTTTTTTTTTTTTTTTTTTGTCTTCATCTTTATCATTTTTGTTATCTTTTGTTATCTTTCTCGTTCGCCTGGTCTTCGTACCGTCCTGATGTTGCTGTTCTTTTGTTTTTTTCTTTTCTGTTCTCTCTCTCTCTTTTCTTATTCTGCTTATGTTAGCTCCTTAACTTTTTCTTTTCTCTCTCTTCATCTTCGTCTCAGTCTTTCAGTATTTTATTCTGTCTTTCCTTTTTCCTAACCTGTTCTCAGTTTTTTTATTATTTATTTCTTTTATATTCTATCTTTCTCTTCCTCCTTTCTTTCTTCTTTTTCATCTCATTATTCTATTTTTCTCCTTCCTTCCTCTTCCACTGTTTCCTTCTACTCTTATTCCACAATTTTATCAGATTTTGATCATTAATTTTTTATTCTATCTTCCTATAAACCCTTTTTTTTTTCTTCTATTTTCTTTCTTCCGCTCTTTCCTTCCACTTTTATTCCACAATTTTATCAGATTTTATGCATCTATTTTATTCTGTTTTTCTTTTTCTTTTTTCTTCTATTTTCTTTCTCTCTTCTTCTGTCGGTTTGCTTGTCCATTTATTCAGGATTTGTCTCGTATTTTGGATCGTCTGGAAGTCCAATTTGCATCTTCTCTTTGTCTCTCTTTCGTTTTCTTTTTCTTTTGTTTTATTTTTTTCGGGAGGGGGGGGGGTGCTGTGTATTTGTCTTCTGTGTTTCTTTGTCTTGTTTTTTTTTCTGTTTTATTGTTTCTCTTCTCTTTATCTTCTCTCGTCTCTCTCTCTCTCTCTCTCTCTTCTCTCTCTCTCTCTCTCTCTCTCTCTCTCTCTCTCTCTCTCTCTCTCTCTCTCTCTCTCTCTCTCTCTCTCTCTCTCACCCCTCATTCCCACCCATTACTTCCCTCCTTTCTCTCCCCTCTCCCTCCTCCCTCCCACCCTCCATCCCTCATTCCCGCCCCTTCATTCCCTCCCTCCCTCCCTCCCTCCTTCCACCCTCTCCACCAATCCCCTTCCCTCCCTCCCCTCCTTCCCCTCCCTTTCCCCTCCCCCCTCCCTACCCTCCCTCCCACTTACAAAAATGCACCAACTCTATTATCGAAACCACCAGTTAAAAAAAAAAGACCACGAGTTCACAGGGTCTGGTCGTTAAGTAAACACTGGCTGGTTTAAACTGTGAGTGCCAAGGGTAATGACCGCCACTTTTTATGTTTGTTTTTTGTTTGTTTTTTATACTTGCTTCTTGGCGGGTGGACTCTTTATTATTATTATTATTTTATTATTATTTATTATTATTGATTTTTATTTTTTATTTTTTTTCTTCATTATCACTTCATGATTGTAGTTGCTATGGTAATTTTTGTTTTTACTATTATTAATGTTGGTACACTGATTTTACTGTTTTTTCTTCTTGTTTTTTGTCACTTGAATGACATGCATTCAGAGAAAACTTTTATTTCTACATAAAAGAAATAAGATTTTTTATTTATATTTCATGGGTTTCTTGTATATTTTGTGTATTTTTATATTTCTTTCAAGTTGCATTCAGGTTATTTCAATGTAAATTCATGGTCATGTGTTTTGATTAGATATTTTTTTCTCTCCCTGAAAAAAAAAAGTGCAAATCTATTGAAATTTCTTCTCTTTTTTCTGTCTTAGAATTTGTCTTTAACTTCTTCCATCATTCACTGTCCCGTAGTAATCATATATATATTTTGTTTTACGTTTTTTTTTTCTTTCTTAGAACAACTCGCTTAATCGTTTTCTCTCTCTCTCTTCTCTCTCTCTCTCTCTCTCTCTCTCTCTCTCTCTCTCTCTCTCTCTCTCTCTCTCTCTCTCTCTCTCTCTCTCTCTCTCTCTCTCTCTCTCTCTCTTTCTCTTTCTCTTTCTCTTTCTCCTCTCTTCTCTCTCTCTCTCTCTCTCTCTTCTCTCTCTCTCTCTCTCACTCACTCACTCACTCACTCACTCACTCACTCTCTCTCTCTCTCTCTCTCTCTCTCTCTCTCTCTCTTCTCTCTCTCTCTCTCTCCTCCTCCCTCCCTCCCTCCCTCCCTCCCTCCCTCCTCTCTCCCTCTCCCTCTCCCCTCTCCCTCCCTCCCTCAAAAAAAAAAGAAAAAAAAAAAGAAAAAAAGAAAAAAAAACGAAAAGGAGTAAAATGACGCACAACTTTTGCCTCCTCACGCCCACGGGTCGCAGATTCCTCAACGCACGCCCATATAAGGAAGCGGGTATTTGTGGTCACAGTAGAGGGGCGGTGGGGGTGGGGGAGGGTGGAGGGGGAGGAATTGCACCTTCAGGCCATACGCGAGATAGGAGGGGAGGGAGGAGGGAGGGGTGGGATAGGGAGGGAGGCAGGGAGGGAAGGAAGGGGAGGGTTATAGAGAGGGAGGGAGAAAGGGAGGGGAAGGAGAGAGGAGGAAGGGAGGAGGAAGGAGAGGAGGGTGGGGAGGGGGTAGGAAGGGAGAGAGGAAAGGGAGGGAGGAAGGAGGAAGGAGAAGGGAGGAAGGGAGGGAGAGGGTAGTGAAGGTGAGGACACATTGAGAGGATAGGTAGAGGGAAAGAGGAGAGTAAGGAGAAGGAGGGAGAGAAGGAGAGGGGAGTTCTTATAATTTAGTTTTTGACATTATTACTACTGATATTATTGTTATTATTATTGTTATTGTTATTATTATTATTATTGTCATTATTGTTTTATTATTATTAATTATTATTATTGTTTTGTTGTTATTGTTGTCGTTATCATTATTGTTGCTGTGATTTTTATCAACATTATGATTTTCATTGTCATTATTATTGCTGTTTTTGTTGCTGTTGTTATAGTAATAACATAAATAATGATAATAATGATGAATATTATTATCATCATTATCATTATTATTAGTTATTATTATTATTATTATTATTATTGCTGTTGCTGTTGTTATTACTATTAATAGTAGTAGAATTATTATCATAATCATTTATATCATTATTATTGTTAATATCATTGTTATCGCTACTATTCAACAGGGATAGTAATACTGATCATTATTATCATTATCATTATAATTATCATCATTATCAGATCATTATTATTATTATCTGTAATAGTATGGTTATTATTATTATCATTGTTGCTGTTGTTGTCATCAGCAGCATTGTTAACATTATTATCATTGTTGTAGTTATTATTAATATTATTAACTGAAAAAAACTAGTAATATTAACAATTACATTACATAATCTCTAAAATTTTATTTAATTCTGAAATTATTTTTTTGCAGGAGTTTCGCAGAAAGAACTGAAGGAGAAAGAACGAAAAGGACGATGCACTGAGAGACAACAGCTCTCCTCTGTTTAGTCTTGTCACTCTTCTCTGAATTTCGTTCGTTTGCAAATTACTTCGTTCAGCTCGAGAAGCCTCTACCAGCTACACTCAACATGGACGGTCGAATTAAATTACTGCTGTTGTAAGTTCTTTAAAAAAAATCTTTTTGTTTTGTTTTTATTTGTGATACGAGTATTTTGTTTATATTGTGATGCTTATGTATTTAAATTTGCAAACAAGCAAGCCAGTATGCATTAATATATATATATATATATATATATATATATATATATATATAAATACACGTACACAATCATATATACACGTACACATTCACTTAAATATATACTTAAAACAAACAATATTATTTACACGCAAACGCACATACACACATGTATACATACTTCAATATATAGCCCTACATATGCATACATGCGTGTATATAATACATCCATACATACATATACATACAGATAGACAGACAGACATGCATCATAATACATACATACATACATACATGCATACACAGATAGTGATCAAGTTTCTCCCTCATCACATCACACACACACACCACACACACACAACACACAGACACACAACACAACACACACACACACACACACACACACACACACACACACACTACCTTTCCCCCTTTCTCCCTTCCTCCAATCACTCCATCTTTCCACCAAAAATCTTCCCAGTCCCGTCTCATGTCCCTAATCAGTCTGTTTCCAATCCATTTCATCTACCTAATCCACACGATCCCCTAAACCACCTAATCGACCTCATCCACCTGATTCACCTCATCCACCCAATTTACCTAATCTTCGTGATACATAGTCATCCATATATAAAGGAAGCTATAACAAAGACTATATAAGAAAGATAGGAAAGCACGTATCACACCGAGTAAAAAAATGTGAGGCCCAGAACTTCATACAGCGCCATCTATTGCTCAGATATGTAACTTAGAAAGGAGAATGTTTTTAGGGGGGACTATAAATTTATATCAATATTTCAATTCGTATTTTAGTTTAGTCTTTTTTAAATAAGAGACGAAATATATTTCTCAAAGAATTACTTTATATAATATAAATTTACATGGAATTATATAATTATACTATCCTTTAATAACTTCTTTGATTAGAGATTGTTTACAATTGAAATAAGGTTTTGACTGTTTTTCAGAATATGACAATAAAACATTTATCAAATTATCTTATGTGTATGCATATTTACATGACATAAAATTATTCCATTGTTTAAATACTATACAATTATATTGCAGAAAATATCTTTGGTGTTAATACAATGAATACGAACTTAAATTATATAGACGCTATATCAAATAAACAAATCTATTAAATAAACTCTGCAATCTTTCAGTATTGATAAATTCCACTCATTTTGTCATTAAATCAAGGATATTATACGTTTATGTAGAAAAAAAAATCTTTATTTAATTTCAGGTCATCATCCATTAAATCAATTAAAACAACATGAAGCATAAAACATATAAAAACAAACCCCAAAAAACAAACAATTCCTTTCCTCCCGTTTTGAGTAAGTGGCGTTTCATGATAGTAAACAAACAGACGATACATCGCGTACACAACGCCATCTATTGTTCAGATGTTACACTATCCGCCAACCGTTGGGACTCACAGGCTTTTCCCATGCTTTCCTATCTTTCGTATATAGTCTTTGGTGGTGTCATAGCTAGCCAATCAGGACACAGAAATTGTTTCCAATTACGGATTATTCTTTTATTTTTTATTCATAGTCATTATCAGTATCAGAAATGCAACCAAAAATAAACACTTTTGTTTAAGCTTGCGAGCTATTTTTGTTACATTGAAGTTTGCAAAAACAAAACAGGAAAATACAAAATTTCGTTAAGTGTTACCACAGATTTCAATGGGGGTAACGCTACCTCCCTTTTAGATTCCTTGACGAGCCCACTTAATCCAACTCACCCACCCCCATCCACCTCACGCATCTCATCCACCCCACCTACCCCACCCTCACAAACCTCACCCACCTAATCCAACTACCCACCCAACCCACTCACCCAAACACCTCACCACACCCACCCACCTCATCCAACTCACCCACCTCCCCCACTTCATCGACCCCACCTCATCCACTCACCTCTCCCACCCCACCCACCCCAATTCACCACCACCCACCACACCCACTTCATCCACCCCACCCTATCCACCTCATATACCCCCCCTACCCGACCCACCCAACCTCCCCCACCCACCCCATCCACCTCCCCACCACCCTACCCACCTTATCCACCTCATCCACCTCATCCACAGATCCCTGGCCATCGCGGGGCCGTGGCGTCGAGCGAAGAGAGCGAGGAGAGACAAGCGAAGTGGGAGCGGCGTGGAAGACGTAAGTAAAAGGGGGCGTGGGAGTGGGTTGGGGGGATGTTGGGGGGACGGGGTGGATTTTTTTTTTTTTTTCTGTGTTTCCAATTTTAGACTTTGCTTTAATTTCTTTTTCTTCTTTGCTTAGATCTGTTATGATGTAGGTGGGTTTGCTATTTTTTTCTTCTTTTGGTTCTCTTCTTTGATATTTATTATTTTTTAGTTTTTAGTTTATAAGTAGTAAGCCGTTCTCCTTGTAAATAGGAAAGAGAGGAGAGAGAGGAGAGAGAGGAGAGAGAGAAGAGAGAGAGAGAGAGAGAGAGAGAGAGAGAGATGTGAGAGAGAGAGAGAGAGAGAGAGAGAAAGTACTTAATATTCCCTTTCAATAGATAATTTCCTATGCTTTTTTTCCAGGGTCTTCTGTCCGTCCAGAGTTCAGCAATTTCTTGATAGATATTGGCTTTTTTTTATATTCTTTTTTAGCTTTTGTTTTGCTTAAGTATATTGCTTTTATTTAGTTATTGCTGATGCTTTTTCGAGACAAGATTAGAGGAGTATATTTAGAAATTAGAAAGGATATTTTTTGTGTAGTATAATATTTTGCATAGATTTGTTTTTCTGATATTTTTTTTCCATTTGCTTGTTGCAAATGTGTGTGTTTTTTTTTTTAGATAAGATATATTTCAATTGCCATTTTTATTATCATTTATTGCTTTATTTAGCATCACATGAATACTATTTTGATAAAGATAAATGGACTCCTTTAATCTGCTTTATGTGTAATTTGTATTCTGTTTAAAAAACGCAATTATTTTCGCTTTAATGATAAAAAATGTGTTTCCTCCCTCATTAGCATATGATAATCACATTAGTTACCCATCAAATACCTTCCTGTCAGTTATTTCCCCCACTAAATGACCCCTACCCCATCCCCTCCCTCTGGTCTCTCCCCATTAACCCCATTTCCCCTACCCCTCTCTTCGCCCTGCCCTCCCACCCCTCTCTCACCCCCCACCCCCCCAACTGAATTTCCTTCCCCCCCCTTTCTTTTCCCCTTCCCCCCCCCTCTCTCATCCCCCTCCACCACCAGTGATTTTCCACCCTCCCCTCTCTTCCTCCTCCCCTCCCCCTCCCCTCTCTTCTCTCCTCTCTCTCTTCTCCCTCCCCATCCCCCTCCCACCACCGCTGATTTTCCCCCATCACCCCCTCTCCTCCCCACCGCCAGAGATGTTCACCCGCCTCACCTCTCTCCCCCTTCCCCTCCCCCTCCCCTCTCTTCTCTCCTCCCTCCACACCCCCTCTCTCTCCCCCACCACCACCACTGATTCTCCCCCCCATCACCCCCCTCCCCGCTGATTCTCCAGTCACTCCGCCACAGATGTTCACCGCCTCACCTCGCTACGTTCCCCGAAACGCCCCGTATCAGCTGTGGCGAGGTGACGACACGATGGGTTTCTTCGCTCTGCGGATGAAGATTCTCATGGTCGCCGGGTAAACGGGGTACTCTGTGACTGCCTTCGGTACTCTGGAAAGGCGACGATGAGTCTTGCTGCTGTCTCTCGCTCCCGAACACCAAGACCTGCAAGATTTCTCTCCTACGCTCCTTCCCCTCCCCCTTTCCTGGCTCTTTAAAACATTAGTCCCCTTTCTTGGTCTTTTTTTCCTGTCCCCAGCACGTTCAAGTTCTTCTCCCGCTCTAGATGTCCTCCAAGACGTTTATGGTTATTTTCTCTCTATCTCCCTTCCTGGTCCTTTTCCCCTGCCCTTCAAGACGTTATGGTTCTTCTCCCCGCTCTAGATGTCCCCCAAGACGTTTGGGGTTATTTCTCGTCTTATCTCCTTCCTTGGTCCTTTTCCTGTCCTCAAGACGTTTGTTGGTTCCTTTCTCCCCGCTGTGGATGTCCCCCCAAAGACGGTTATGGTTATTTCTCGTCTTATCTCCTCCTTGATACCCCTTTCCTTCCCCTGGAAAGATCTTCCTTAAGACGTATCTCTTCTTCTCTTCATAGATATACCCCAGGACGTTATTTCCTTCGTGTCCTATCTCCCCCTCAAACCTTTTTCTCCCCCTGGAATGATCTCCCAAGGGTGTACTCTCCTTCCCTTTGAAGTTCTCCCCAAGACGTTCTCTTTTCCCCAGCAAGGATCTTCTTCAAGACGTATCCTACTCTCCTGTATAGATCTCCAAGAAGGACCATTTTCCCCCTGTATAGATTTCCAAGAAGTCCCCCTTTTTTCCCCTGTTTAGATCTCCAAGAAGATCCCTTTTCCCCCTGATAGATAATCCAGTAGCCTTTTTCTGCTATAGATCTCCAAGAAGTACTCTTTTTCTCCCCTGTGAAAAATCGCCCTAACAGGCACCCTTCTCCCCTCTTTAAATCACCCCAAGACGCACCCATTCCTGGACAGTCTCCCCAAGACGTTAGCCCACCTTATCACCCCCCTTAACAAACCCCTAGTCTCCCCAAGACATTAGCTTCCCCATGCCTTATCACCCCTAATCTTAACCCTCCCCCCCCCCTTAAAGATTTCCCCAAGAATTTCCCAAGACGCTAACCCCTTATTTCCCCATCTCTCTCACCCCTCTTCTCCCTTCTTAAAGGCTGGTGTCCTAGCATTAGATGATAAAAAAAAGGTACATATAACACATATATAATACGTAATATATATGTCCTCCTTCCTTCTTAAAGGCTGGTGTCCTAGCATGATAAAAAAGTACACATAACACATATATGATACGTATATATGTGTTAAAAATTGGTTGTACTTCTTAAAGGCTGGTGTCCTATTAGTTGATAAAAATAATATATAAATACACATATATATGTTAAAGTACTAATTGGTTGTCCTTTCCTTCTTAAAAGCTAGCATTAGATGATAAAAAAGGTATAATACACATATATATGTTGAGTATTGTGGGTGATTAGTTGTTTTTTGGGCGGATTCTTTTTCTCATGGGCGGGCTTTTATGTCATCTGCTGGCTATCGTGGGCGTTCGGTGGAAGAATGGTTTGGATGGGCGCTGTGGATCTGCTTCGAATTTCATGTTATTTGCTTCGTATTTTGTTGTTGTTGTCTCTCAAGTCCGTTTTCTTATCTATTTTGTATCTTTATCTTCCTGAAAGACTATTTATAAAAAACAATTTTGTGTCTTTATCTTCCTCAAAGTGTCTCTTTCAAAGACTTTTTTATTTCTTTTTTTTACTCTTTTCTTAGAAAATATAGGAATGTACAAGGTAGGTATATATGAAAATCGTTGTGCTTGTTCTTAAGTATTTTCGTAATATTCTTTAAATCCTCAGATGAATGTATTTCTCAACATACCAAATCGACATCAGTATAAATAAACACAGACCATAAAATATAAATAAATAAATAGAAAAAAACAAAAACCAAGCTAGTCACCCAAAAAATCAATATTATCTTTTGGTACAAACCATTAATCTTCTTTCCCTTAATAGACGCAATTTAACTCCCTTAAAAAGCCCTTAAAACGCCCTTAATTTTTTCCTCCTCAGTGGACAAATCCTGCGACGGTTACACGCGTTCCCACAGCACCTACTTCAGGAACCCGAATTTCCCTAAGAATGACACGGAGGAACGTATGTGTCCCTTGACGGTGGAGGTCGGGCGCGACGTGTGTGCTGTCAGGTGAGGGTCTTGGCCAATTTTTGTGTTTGTGTTTCTCGGGGGGTGTTCGTGTGTTTGTATTTTTTTTCATCTCAATTATCGTTTCATTATTTTATCGTTATCATTGTTTTATCACTTATCATTGTCATTATCATTAATTACCACCACCTCCATTATCATCATTATTATCACCACCACAGTAACCATCATCATCATCACTATCACCATCCTCCTCTTCATCATCGACATCATCAATCATCATCATCCATCCATCAACCAATCATCATCATCACTCATCACCACTCCACCCAACCACCACTCACCACCACCACACCCTCCACCAACACCCTCACCTCATCCTCACCCTCACCATTACAAACATCATCACCACAATCATTATCCTTATCATCATCAACTTATCTCCCACTTCCTCCCTTCGCAGACTGAGCTTCGAGAAGTTTGAACTGTCACCCTTTACTGAAGGTGTCTGTATCGGCGACCACCTGACTATCCTGGGCACTTTGGAAGGCTCCACCACGCCATATGCGGCAACATGACCGGATGACGAGTATGTATTATGGGCGGATATGTGGATGTTATGTGTATGTTATGCGGCAACATATACTCGTGGTTTGAGTACACAATACTACTTGTATACAGAAAACACTTACAAAGGTGGTATATATATTAATATATATATATATATATATATATATATATATATATATATATATATACATATATATATATATATATATATATATATATATATATTTATTTATTTATTTATTTATTTATTTATTTATTATTTATTATATATATATATATATATATATATTTATATATATATATTTATTATATATACATATATATATATATATACATATATATACATATATATACATATATATACATATATATACATATATATACATATATATATATATATATATATATATATATATATATATATATATACTATATATATATATATATATATATATATTATATTTATATATATTTATTTATTGTATATATACCTATGGTACATATATATACATAATATACTATATATATATATATATATATATATATATATAATATATATATATATATATATATATATATATATATATATAATATATATATAATATATATATTATATATATATATATATATATATAATATATATATATATATATATATATATATATATATATATATATATATATATATATATATATATATATATCTATATCTTCCCACACACTAGAAATAAAAGACACCCCCCAAAAAAATAAATAAATACAAAAAAAATGCATACATATACATATATACAAATATACACCCCTCCTCCTCCCGCACACCATAAACAACCCCCCCCCCCCAAAAAAAAAAAAAAATAAAAAATAAAAATAAAAAAATAATAATAAAAAAATAATAATAAAAAAAATAATAAATAAAAATAAATAAATAAATAAAAATTAATCATAACCCCCCCTTCTTCTCCCCCCCCATCCCCCGCCCACAGCCACCTTCGCCGTGAAGAAAAACAGTGACGTCGTGTTGGCAATGGTGCTCCAGGGACGCCCCGCCCACACCTTCTCCATCCAGGTCACGCAGATTGCTTGCGACGAAATACAAGTGTTCCATTGTGAGTTATTTGTGTTATTGTTGTGTTTTTTGTGATATTTTTTGCGTTATTTTCTGCTAAAATGTGGGTTTAGGTTGAGTTTTTCTTTGGAGATTTACGTTTTTTTCTGTTTATTTGGTTGATTTTTGTGTGTCGGTTGAGTAGGTAGTTGAGTCAGTCAAGCAGTCAGTGTCAGTCAGTCTGTCAATCAGTCAGTCAGTCAGTCAGTCAGTCAGTCAGTCAGTCGGTCAGCCAAACAGTCAGTCTGTCAGTCAGTCAGTCAGTCAACCAATCAAAAAGTCAGTCTGTCAGTAAACCAGTTAATCAAACAGTTAGTCAAATCAGTCATTCATTCACTCAATCAGTCAGTAAGTCAGTCAATCTAAAAAAAAATCTCAACCCAAAACAACCCATTCACCCCCTCCCTTCACCCCACCCCCCCTTCTCCCCCACAGCCCCCACCTACGCCGGCATCCGCAACCTGGACGGGGAGAAGTACACGCCCACGACCAAGAAGCCCAGTTTCTTGATCAAGCCCATCGCGGGCCAGCCGGGGGAGGGGGCGACGACCCCCGAGAGCACGACGACCCCCGAAGACGTGACCGAGGAACCGACCACCGTGGGACCTCCTGACGAGAGCGAGGAGGAGGACGAGAAGGAGGAGGGAGGGGAGGGGGAGGAGGGGGCGGCGACGGAGGCCACGGTTCGAGAGGGACCCACGACCCTCACGCCCGGGACCATTCCTTCGCCCAAACCCAGTGATGTGAGTGGGTGGTTGTTGTTGTTGTTGTTGTCACCATTAGTATACATTATGGGTGGGAGTGATGTTATTATAATAGCATGTGAGTGTGTGGTTATTGTTGTTGTTATTACCATTATTATACATTATGGGTGGGCTTGATGTTATTATAATAACATGTGAGTGTGTGGTTATTGTTGTTGTTCTTGTTATTACCATTAGTATACATTATGGGTGGGCGTGATGTTATTATAATAACATGTGAGTGTGTGGTTATTGTTGTTATTACCATTATTATACATTATGGGTGGGCGTGAGGTTATTATAATAACATGTGGGTGTGTGGTTATTATTGTTGCTTATTATTGTTATTGTTATCATTATTATACATTATGGGTGAGTGTGAGGTTATTATAATAACATGTGTGTTATTGTTTCTGTTAAAAGTAGTAGTAGTAGTATTGGTATTTTTGTTATTAACGTTGCTTATGATTATGTCATTACCAATATTTATATGATTATTATTCCTCTGTTTTTATCAGTGTCAACAGTATCACTATTTAAATAATTTTATCATTATTTGATTAACATTATCATCATCATTTTTTATTAACATTATTATCTTTGTTGTCATTGTTGTTCCTATTATAATCGAGAGCGTTATCATTATCATATCCATATTAGAAGGAGGAAGGAATTAATGTTAATTTCATTACCATTATGTATATTTTTTTTCATTCGAATATCATCTCTATTGTGCTTTTGCATCAATTTTACATTCTCCCCAATCTATATCCCTCTATGCATGTGTAAATCCTTGCATCCATTCTCACTTAATAACAATAAAAAAGATGAATACATAAATAGAACGTAATTGATAAAAAAAAAGAAAAAAAATTGTAACCTCCCTCCCACACCCCTCTCACGTAACTGAAATCTGGCGTGCATTTCCCGTAGGTTTTAATCCGCGCCCAACAGCTGGAATTGGAGGATGATGGCGTATACTTGGAAACCATTGACGTCACGCCCGCCATTTCTGCCTTCAGGAGAGGTACGGTTGGCAGAGGGCGCTGGGTTATGCTAGTTGTGGTGTCAGCGGCATTGTTATTGTTGTTGTTAATGATGTTGTTATTGGTGGTGGTGGTATTATCGGTAGAGAAATTTTCATTTTTTTTTCTATTGTTTATGTTGTCGTTATTGTGATAGTTTTCGGTATCATATTGTGTGACAGATATTTTTTATTGATAATGTCAGTATCAGTTTAAAGAAAGAGAGAAAGAGTGAGTGAGTGAGTGAGTGAGTGAGTGAGTGAGTGTGAGTGAGTGAGTGAGTGAGTGTGAGTGAATGTGAGTGAGTGAGTGAGTGTGAGTGAGTGAGTGAGTGAGAGAGAGAGAGAGAGTGTGTGAGAGTGTGAGTGTGTGAGTGAGAGAGAGAAAGAAATAAAGAGAGAGAGAGAGAGAGAAAAAAAAATTAAAGGAAGAAAGAGAGCGAGAGATAGAAAAGAAAGAAAGAAAGACAAAAAAAAGCAACACCAAAAAACATACCTACTCCTAATCCTTCTTCCATCCTTTCTTCCAGCCTTCGAGCTCCGAGTCAGTGACAGGTGCTGGCAGTATGAAACCGGGACACAAGCAGCATTCAGAGTCATCGGCGGAGGATACACCAGGATTAACGAATATCCTTGGCAGGTAGGATGTTATCTTTCTCTTTTGCTGTCTCTTTATCTTTTTGTTCTCTTTATCATATTATCTTTCTCTTTTGCTGTCTCTCTGTTTCTGTCTGTCTGTATTTCGATCTCTGCCTTTTTTTAAAGATTTTAAAAAAGTATAAATCCTCACTTAATAGGTTTAACTTTTATACGGAAAAGGTATAAAAACACTACTAAAAATTGTAAATGTACGACTAACAAAAGATGTAAAGCGAATAAAGGAAAATTTAAAAAGATATCCCCATCCCTTAAGAAATAAATGAAAAAAAAAATGAATTTAGACCGGAAAGAAAAAAATTAACTTTAAATTCAGACCTGAAATAATAATGAAAAATAAACATAAAATAAAAAGAGGTAAACTTCAAAACCAGAAAGAAAAAAAGAAATAAAATCAGACATACCCCCCCCCCAAAAAAAAAAAAAATATAAAAAAAAAAAAAAAAAAAATAAACTTTAAAATCAGACAGAACCCCAAAAAATAAATAAATAAAAAAATAATAATAAATAATAATAAATAAATAAAATAATAATAAATAAAATAAATAAACTTTAAAATCAGCCACACTTCAATCTGTTCTATAAACCAATATTGGAAAATCGAACGGTGAGGAAATATAAGTAAATCATCGCTTACCTTTCCACACGCGCGCTTCTAGAGTTTCAATTGTTTTGCGAACGAATAATGTCAAGGTGTAAATATGTATGTAAATATTTTCTCTCTCTCTCTTTTTCGTTTTCTTGTTTTTTTTTTTTTTTTAATACTTTTGTGTTTTTATTCTGTTCTCTCTCTAACTCTCTCTTTACTTTTGTGTCTGTATATTGTTTCTTCGATTTTCTTTTTTTTCTGTTTTTTTTTTACTTTTGTGTTTTTATTCTGTTCTCTCTCTAACTCTCTCTTACTTTGTGTCTGTTTATTGGTCTTGTTGCAGTTATTATTGTTATTGTTATTATAACATTATTATTATTATAGTTATCATTATTAGTCCCAATATTAATATTCGTCATCATCATCGTCGTTATTATTGTTGTTGTTATTATTGTTATTGTCAATATTAATCACCATCATCACCGTTAATTTCTTCTAATATCTCGTAAAGCAAAAAGGGTAATTATGAATAAAATATCAGCCATTGATTGGCCAATCACGTACCACAACGTCACGTGGCCATGACGTCACGATTTAGCTAGCGTCGTAGCGTCACAGTTCGGGAGTGTGACGTCACGGATTCGATGACGCCACGGTTTGGGAAAAGACGTCACGGATTCAATGACGCCACGACTCGGGAAGTGACGTCACAGTCCAGATGACGTCATGGTTTTATCTTGCGTCATTGATTCCCGATTGGTCAATCTTTGGAAGTTCTTTCTGTTATATGCCAGAGAGATAAAACAGAATAGAGAGAAGCAATAATTAGAAAACTTTATCCGATCACAAGGATAGGAGAGAAGTAAAAAAATAATTAGTGAGTCCAACTCATTAACAGACTGAACAATAATTACGAGAGTAGATAATCAGGAAGATAAAAAAAAAGACATGTCTAACAATGCATATTAAACTAAAAAAAAATGTAAGAGGCACATTTTTTTTTTTTTTTTTTTTTTTTACACAGAGGAACATGTCGATAAATGTTCTAAAAGTTTAGAATGTTTTAGAAGTTTGTGTAAAAGTGCGCCCAAAATGCGTTTGTTAACTCCAGTTTGACATTTCTAAGTCTAGTGACTAGTGTAAAGATTTGTTTGGCTGGCAATGAGAAAAAGTTTTTTTTCTCTCTTTGTTTTTGTTTTATCTTTCTCTTTTGCTGTCTCTCTGTTTCTGTCTGTCTGTATTTCGATCTCTGCCTCTGTTTGTGAGCCTGTTTCTCTCTCTTTCTTTCTCTTTCTCATTCCCTTTCTCTCTCTCTCATTCTTTCTCTTTCTTATTCCCTTTCACTCTCTTTTCTCTTCTTCCCCCCCCTCTCTCTCTCTCTCTCTCTCTCTCTCTTTCTCTCTCTCTCTCTCTCTCTCTCTCTCTCTCTCTCTCTCTCTCTCTCTCTCTCTCTCTCTCTCTCTCTCCTCTCTCTCTCTCTCTCTCTATCTCTATCTCTACTCTATCTCTCTCTCTCTCTCTCTCTCTCTCTCCCTCTCCCTCCCCTTTCTCTCTCTGCATTTCCCAGACTATCGCATTTCTTT